AGAAAGCATATAGCCTGGGCCTAACGTTTCCTAACGCCACCGGCTGAAATAAAAAAAATAAAGCTTATAAATAGGCTGCATGTGCAGAGAAACACTTCGAGATTTATAAGAGTGGTTACAAAACGTTACGCCGCTCTCTCCAGACGAGTCCAAGCATCAGTGACAGTAGCTGTCGTAAGTTTCACGTCGCTGTGCCGCTTCAGCAGATGCTTCAATAAATCAGATTTAGAAATGTTCGTGGTTGAAAGCTTTTAGCTGGTCGCACAGAGTTTACAGTAAACAATGTTCTTTGTAGAATAGGCTCAAATCAATATGCTATAAATAGGAATTTGCCTGTAGTTTCCCGTTACAATGTTCACTAAATAATAATTAAATAAAAATCAACGTCAAAATCCCTCCCCCTTTAAATGTCTACATGATTACACTTTATAATTTGAATGCGTTGTCAAATCACGCGCCTTTATTTTGTATTTTTTGCGTATACTTCCTGACAGCGGAGGTCTGCAGTTGGACCTTCTTGCGTCAATCTGCAGCTCGCTGCACTGTATGAAGGGTACCGAGCCGGAAAGGGGGATCTGATTTGATCCGCCTCTGATCCAGGGATGTTGCCGGTAACGGAGCCGGAACGATGTCTGTGTTCAAGGCCACAGCCGGCGTGCCGGAACAGGAGTGACGCTGTTGTGTTACAAGTCGCGGCCTTTTTTAAACTGTCTAACTCCAAAAGTCCACTGACTCCGGCTGCGCCACGGTTTTGTTTGGTCTCCAGCCCGGCGTTAACGTTTACTGGAACTGTCTCTGCGTTGACTTGTTAATTTTCTCATTTTTGTGCTTCTTCTACCTTCTTCACAGCTCCGTCGCCTGCAGGCTGCATATCCACAGGGAGCCTTTCAGAATAAGAGCGTTTTGCCTGCCCGATTTTGCTGACATGTTTAGATTTTGTTAATTTGGTAATCAGTGTTTGTGCTTCCACTATTAGTAAGTAGGCTACGCAGTGAAATGGTTTCTTTTGTCCGTTTTAACAGTGTTTTTTTTGTTTTTTACGATCGGGAATCTGCACGGGGTATTTTATTTTTAAAATTGACCATATGAGCTCAGGTAGCTGCAGCGTAGGGGGACTCAGTGGGGGTAACCCGGAAAGCCGGAACGCTTTCTCATCCCTTTCACCTGGTGTTCCCTGCTCCTCTCCCCATCTGCAGCTCGTTCCCTCATTAGTCCCCTCAGCATATATATACGAGCCTACCTGCACTGGTGCGTTGTCTTTTCAATACTTTCCCCTTGTATAACTCTAACCGTGGCTTGATTTCCTGGGTTCTGACCTGTGCCAGTAAAGTTTGCCCTTTTCTGATTGAGCTCCTGGTTCTGACCCTTTTGAAATAACCTTGTATACTTGGACCGTTACCCTGATGGTTTGTGGCGTGCTCGTGGGTTCTCGCCAGCTCTGAGTCGGTGAGCGTAACAAGAACTGTCAGTTGATGTGTAAGAACTCAAAGCAGCTTAACTGTCGGTCAAAGAGTAAGACAAGAAAGCTGCTGAAGTGTCAATTGACGAGCTACAGATAAAAAGCAGTGGAAACATCCAAAACATCGTACCTAAACGACTCAATAGGTCGATTGTCACGTGTCCCAACACGCAAGGACGTCACTTTGTGTTGGAAAGTGGTGGGGACAAAGTGGCTCAGAGACACTGGGCTCACGAGACGGCACCATACGCAATAAAATAGGTTCATGAGAACGAGAGGGGAGAGAAGATGTGTTGCAACAAGATATGCTCAATGATGAGATATGAGAGCGGGGCGTCTGGGGGGGACCTCCCCCGGGAAATTTTGATCTTTAAACACTTCATTTCCTGCATTCTGGTGAAGGTTTCTGCACCAACTTATTGTGGAAATATTTATGCAAAATGAATCAATTCAGGTGGCAAAATATATAAATAAAACAGAATCTAAGGGAGAGCAGCTCTCAGTCGTTCTGTGCTGCTTTCAGGTCTGTTTCCCCTGTAGATCAACTTTTCCCCTGTAATATTATTCCTGCTGAGTCATGATTTAGTCTTTCCTCCTCTTGTCACGTTCACAGGGAGAGAACAGAAAACTTGGTCTAAAAAGAAAACTATCAAGTTGTTGTTAAAGTTACTGACTAGTGCTGCGTGTTTTTAGGTCAGTTCAGAATCAGTAACTTGTTTGTTTTTAGCTTAAGTTACATTTTTTGGACAGAGCACATTTTGTTTGTTCTATATTTTAATTGCATGTTTTCTTAATGTGCAAATAAACTTTTCTAAAAGCATTTTTATTATTGAACAAGCTTTTTCAAAACGTTTAACACAATCTTATTATCTATTGTAGGTCACTACTGATGTTGGGTTTCCACTGTTTATTTGAAATAAAGTAAATAGAGCTCAAACAGAAAATGGACCAATGGGTGCTGTGGAAATCAACAGACAATTTTAACAAAGAGGTCCTCAAAAGGAGGATTACTACTGTGACTACGGGAAAAAACAAAAGGACAAACCAAAAAGCGCTCTAACTAAAGTATGTCGCAAAACCAAAACACAAAGCGCACAGCCCCCCTGAACCTAGTGGAAACTAACATGAAACAACTACTGTGGGTGCAGGAAAGGTATCAGTTTTTAAATCATAGCCTGGCCCACTTCCTAACCTTTACTTGAACAAAAGCTTCTACAGCACTTATCACGATTATCACAAGAGAGCACAACAAAATCACAACTGCCCAGTTCACACAGAATAGGCAGCTATTTAAACAGGCAGCCAGACGCCGCACCAATCAGATCACTGGCCGGAACCAGGAAGTAGGCAGGTCTCGCGTCAGCCAATCCTCAGCAAGGGTTCGCACAACACAGATACACAGATAACGGCGGTGGCCGTAACACTGGGTAGACTGTCGGGCAAACAGGCAGGCAGCGTCTTAATCGCACAGATAACAACTGGAGTAGACAAAGAAACAGCAAAAATGTTCAACTATTATAATTATAAACTCAGAGTTGGCCGGAGACATTATACCACGGGAGGTAAACTGACGAAGTGGCGAGGAGTGGAAGATGAGCCGGAGTATTTCACTGCAAGGGTTGATTGCTGGATGAGGCCCAGGTGTGAGACGCTGCAGGCGATGATGAGCCAGGAGCCTGAGCCAGACAGGCCCACAACACACACAGACCAAAGTGACAGAAACAGCAGGGAAGGCAAAACAGAGGAGACATAAGGAAAAAAGGGAGGTAGGAAAGGCCGAATATAACAACTGATGCTTGTATGCTCTTCCACAAATACTGTATAAGGCGCTTTGGATAAAAGTGTCTGCCACATGAGTAATTCTAAGACCAGTCCAGGACCTTCAGTGCGTCTCATAAGTGACGGGACATTTGACACTAAAGGCCAAAAAATCAATACGGCAATATATCGTTATACATGTTAACACGATACTCTATCGATATTGATGGGAATCTCCACTGACGTGCTAACGAACATAAACTACACATTTTGCTTCACATGCTGAACATGCTGAGTGACAAACTGTGCAAATACATAAAGTACCTGCTACTTGATCTGCTCCTCTGCTGCTTCAGCACTCCACACTGACCAGCTACAGCAACCCCAAAGGGTCAATACTCAAACCCAAAATTCAGAGTGGCCTAAAACATACAGCTACCACTAGGTGAAGAAAGGGCAGCCCAATGCTGTGTCACTGAACAGTTAATATAATGTGAGGTACATATTTGACTTACGTGGTACACAGCAATTTGTGTTTTCAGCCAAAAATTCTGAATCGAATTAGCATTTTTATTTGCCTTTTAGAATGAAAAAATGTCACAGTAGTTCTGTAGTTTTAATTTACAGACTGAAATGTGAAATGTTTTCTAACAGTTTGGATTTGCAGCAAATAAATAACTTTTGTATTCTTAAATATCGTGATGTATCATTTTTGTCTAGCGATATCAATAATCACAGAATTGCTGTATCTTGATATTATCGTGAGCCATTTATCACGTATCGTGTGGTCCCCTGCGATTCCCGCCCCTATTTGACACGTGGTAAACGTAATGAAACGTTAGTAGTTTGGTTAGGTTTAGGCAACCAAACCATGGGACGTAAGTCATCTACAAAATGTCATTTAACTTAAAACATGTCAACTTTGACTTTCTTCCACACGGGACGTGAACCTCGGTCTCCTGAGTTTACTTGATTCATCCGTCCACCACACCACCTCCTTAAACAGACTTTTCTACTACATCACCTGAATTCTTCTTTCACTAGTCTGACAAAAAACCTAAATATGGGTCATAATAAGCTGCTGCATGATCGACCTGCACAGCCGTTTTTCTGTGAGTCAGTCGAAGGCTAAGATATGGATTAGGCTGAGATGTCGGCTCATTTGTAACTAAAAAACACAGTTCAACTCTAAAAGTTGAAAAGTATGAGAGCCAGAGTCGGGTGTGTGCACTGACCACAGTTTTTTGTTTTACAACACAGTTTAGATTAAACAGTAGGTGTGTGAAGTCCAGTCGTCAGCTGATCAGTTCACGTGTCAAAGTGTGGCCTACAGCAGAATTTAGTTTCTACCTGGAACAGAGTTTAATGAACTGTGTTCTCTGCGAGGTCACAGCTCATTACAATAGTCTCATTAAGACTGCGAGCTCGTTAAGATTCAAAGATCCCAACCTGTTGAGACTTAAGTCAGACATCACATCTGAAGAAGACGCCGTCTCTCACAGTGGTTTCTCAGCCGGGTCTCCTGCACAGAGCTCGTGTTGTCACCATTTACACAAATCTGTGTGTTTGGATTCTGACAGCAGCAGATATCTTGCATTTATCATCCCATCAGACCACCGCCACACACCGTAATCTGCTTTTATTAATGGAGTCAGAGCTGCTCCACAGAGGGGGGGCGGATCCAGAACTACAAACAGAAACACTGAAAATACAGGGTTTCAAATAAAATGTCTCCAGGTGTCTCTTAAAACTCTTTGTATTGTTGTTTCTTTCTGTAAACCAGGAGACCCAGCGGAGCCTGAGGCCCCTCAGAGCCCTCAGGGACCCCTGATGATCAACAGCAGTCTGCTGGAGACCAGGATCCAGCACCTGAGAGAGTGAGTCTGAGAGGGGCTTTTATTCTGTAAAGATCTAGTCTGATGTGCTTCTGTTATTGCAGTTCAACTCTTAGTGTCAGTGCAGCAGAACCTCCTGCAGTCGGTGTAGTTGGTGGCAAGGCACCCACTCAACCACCTCCTTACTCTGACTCTTCAGTTATTTATACCAGGCCGACTTTAAGCGTTGAACAATGACACTAAAAGGCTTCTCTGGGTGCATTTAACTATGATGCTAAAGCACAACCCTGCAGCTCGCAGAGATGCAACTGAGTCACCAGAACTTTGTCTGTCTGTTCTTTGTTTGTACTGCTAAATAGTTCTGTTTTGTGGTTTAGTGTTGTTTTAGAGAATAAAAACACTGGTTAATGTCAGACAAACTCATGGTTTCCATTAAATATTAAAGGGTAAGTTCTGTTTTTTTAAACCTGGGTCCTGTTTCCACATATGTTGGTGTAGAAATGACCAGTAGATACAAAGAGTTTTGAATCTGTGCAGTAGATTCTTCAGCCTGCAGCTGAACCGGCTGCACAGACCGTTCTCATTTCAGGGTCTAACGCTTTCAGAAAAAGTCACAAAACATAGTTATTTGAGGCCAAAAGGTACACACTGCATCTGGAAGCGTCTTGTACAGACCGGAAGTATAGCGAGCTAGCTACGTTCGTGTTAAAGGTGTTGACAGCCCCCCCGAAGCCCCCTGCCCTTACCACAACCATCACAAATGTTAGTACCTAAACCCAAGTCACTGACTTCATGCATGTTGACCGGCTAATCCTACCTGCTAGCACATCGGCGGGTTAGCCTCCTTTGTGTTGCTGGGACGTAGAAAACGGTGGTGTTTCATACGGACGCTGAAGGGTACCTTTAGCGTAAAATACTTTGTCACGCTGTCTGAAAGCATCAGCTATGATGCATTGAGAAGAGAATGTTTTGGGCTGCAACGTATTCCTTCGGGGCGACTGCACCTGTCAAAGTGGCGTCCAATAAAAAGTGCTGCTTTTGTTTGTTTTTTTAATGTAATACCAGGTGTCTGAGAACACAATAGGAAAAAATCCCTACGAGGGACTCCCGGTGACCCCAAAGACAGTATAATTAGACGAAGCCACTCGGCGGGTTTTAATGAAGAGCAATGAAGCCAATTTTGGTCCCATGAAGTACTACTACATGGCTGCTTCCTGTTGGCACCAGGATCTACTGAGCATAGCTTTAAGACACAGTTTAGCGGCCCACCACAGTCCAATTGGTTTTGCCATAGTTTCAAAATGAAAATATTTTTACACTTCTCATAATAACATTTAAGACGCTGATGTAAGCTTCCACGCTCACACACTTTGGCGTCCAACTTGAACCACTTTTCACTTGAGGACACAACACAGTTTGAGGTCAGTACAGTAAGGGTCCGAACAGCTTTAAGTGTTTGTCACTCATTTGTGGGAACACGGTGAGCCTAGCAGCACCTAAATTTGGAGTGCACACGTATTGGAGCCTCTATAGTAAATGAAAGGCATCTTTTAGAGACTTTATTCTGGCATTTTGGCCGGAAAAAACATTAACAAGGTGGTTGACTTTTTTACCACCATTTATATCCTAATTGTTTACTAGAACCCAAAATTCTTTAGAAGAAGAAAAAGTTCTTCATAGATCTAGCCTCTTAATGTTGCTCACAAAGTGCACCAGACTTATGCATTTGACCTAAAATAATACAATATTTTCTTCTGTGTCAGGAAGGGAGAGGAGTTTGTTGTGTACATAGAGGAGCAGCTAGCAAGACTTTTTTTCCTAACGTTACTCCAACGCAACAAACTCCTCTCCCTCGTTTCGTCTGGCGTCTCCTGCAATGACTCGCCTCTCAAGAGATTCCAGAGTGAGAACTGTCCTTGAGCAAGACTTCGGTTTGTTTCCTAATCGACACAAAAATATGTGATGATCATGACAATAGGGACCAGGTTTAAAAATACAGAAATGACCCGCTCAAGACCTATTAAGCTTTTCCACATTTTATGACTTACCAACATTATAACATTGTAGTATTTAAAAGAAATCCCTGTGAGCAAAAACCTCAGATTTCCTCCTTCTGAACTGTTTTCAACTGCTTTTTCTACCAACGGCTCCGTAATACGACACCAGAAGCTAGTTCCATATATGGTCATTTGCTCTGCACAGCAACGCTCAGTCTGCCTGTTCTGCCCAGCGACAACAGCAGCCTGGTAACATGCTTCAGGTCTGGGCCAATCAGAAGACAGTGGGCTTTGAGAGGAGGGGCCTTAAAGAGACAGGAGCATCTACAGCTTGTTTCAGACAGAGGCTGAAATGAAGGCCTACATGAAGAGACAGTATACGACAGAATATTATTTTTTTGAACTTTGAATCATGCCAAGCTGCCATACAGGAGTCAGAGCACTACAATATAGGATTGGAAAAACAGAATAATAGGTCTCCTTTAAGAAACACATTGTGTCTCGTGCTTCAAGTCACTGCAGACTTTTTTCTGTATGAAACCAGATCTTCCACACAGAGTTGTGAGTCTAAACAGAACCGTGAAAAGTTTAAAAATGCTGAAGTCTCGATGAGCAGATCTTGTAAAACTTATCAGACTTTAATTAACAACGGTTCCTCGTTAGGTTGGTAGAAAACGAGATCCGGTCGGCATTACATTTCCTGCTAAACACAATTTCACGCAGTCCACCTGTAATTTCACAATCATAAGAAAGCTGCATTATTGGGGACTGAAATAAAGAATGAAAGAGTGTTTACTTCTAATTACAGAGTAGCTCAACTACTTCTTCCTTATTTCTTTTTTTGTCATTCATAATATACGTATAAAATGCAGATGTAGCGTAAGGAGGGTAGAGTTGCGTTTGCTCGACTGTAAATGATGACGAAGCTGACCCCCCTGACTTTGCTCAGCATCAAGAGTTTTCTCTTGGTTTGAGGTATCGGCGCAGACTTAAGCTCCGTCTCTCTCTGTGAAAGTCTAATTTAAAATAATCCAATTATTCCAGACAAAACATCTTGCCCGAAGCTGCAGCATGTTTCCAAGTGGATCGGAGCGTGATATGAACCAGATTCAGTTTGTTTGTGCAGATTAAAATGAAAAAAACCAAACACAGAGAGAGAGAGAGAGAGAGAGAGAAACAAAAGTAAAAACCAGATCTTTTAATTATATCTTTGCTCCAAAACACAAGAGAGAAGTTCAAAAACAAACACTGGAGGAAAAAGGAATCTGCCTGAAACGCAGTGAAGTTGGATTCAGTAGAAACCAAATAACAGCCTGTGCCTCCCTCCCAACTTCTACTGTAATTAGTTCTCACCTGCTGTAACAGGTGTGGGAAGTTATCTAATGACTGAAGGCATGACTGTGGATTCATCCGCCCCAACAAATGCACTATTTCAGCCCGTTCTCACTCCCAGGGTGTCAAACACTTACACTTTGTCACGTCCTTTGCCATCTGATACCAACACACACAGCAGCCTTCAGCTTCATAGTTGAACGCGGGGGGGGGGGCCTTTAGTATCATAGTTCAACACTACAAGTTGGCCTAGTATGAACCAAGGTTATTATAGTTGTGGATTTTTCATTAGTTTTTATTTGGTTTTGACTTTTTGTTTCAATTTCAGTTTAGTTTTTTACGTGGGTTTGCTAGTTTACTTTTTTTTAGTTTTAGTCTTTGACGCTCCAGGATGCCCAGTTCAGTTCAGTCCAGTTTGTTTTTTTCACAAAACATTAAAATACAAGTATAATCAGAAATATTTGTGAAAAGCTTGTACATAGGGGTGAAAATACAATAAATGGAGGTGAAATAATTGATGGACAGCTAAGAAATTGGAAGATAGTGGAGTTCCCCCTAAGAGCCACAAACAACAGGTCCCTGGCACCCTGAAGGACAGCAGTTATATTAAAATCTAAACCTTTTATTAATCAAAAACTAGGTATTAAAACAACGTGACGCACAAAGAGACAGGCTGGCTGAGACACCAATGAGCGCATAAACATTCAGTAAATATAATGAGCAGCAGACAGTTGACCCAGAGCTCACAGTCAGTGGGCCAGTTCATCTCACATGCAGGACGAGCTCTGAGCCAGACCATCAGAACAAGGAACAGAAAACCACCAAGACAAAACTAAACTAAACACAGCTCTGGACAGTTGTTGCATTCATATTATTTTGTACACGTTTGAATAAAAGATAATAGAAAACATGTTCAAATCCCACCAACCACCAGCTGATCCCTACCTGGGTCTCCCCGGCTAAGTTAGCCCCACCCAACAGCGGTCGCCAGCCGCTACGCTGCGTCCAGACCGCTGGATAAAGCATTCGTGGCAGGCCAGCCACACGGCACACAGCGTGCAGCTCTTCGTGGGGAGGACAAAAACATAACACACCTGCGGTTCACCAGCAGCTGCCTACAGGCTGATCACCGCTGAACTGCTGGTGCAGCCAGACCATCATATGTAGTGTAGGCTTATTAGGTCCAATGAAATAAATAAATAAACAAAAACTAAAGGACAGTTACTTTCATTTTAGTTAGTTTTGCAAACCTACAACACAGTTTTAGTTTGGTTTTTTTGTAAAGCCTCATTTTTATTTCAGTTAACGACAACGTTTTTTTTCACATCTAGTTTTCCTTATTTCATTCGTCTTCGTTAATGATTATAACCTTAGTATGAATAAAAAAGTAAGGAGGTAACCAGACTTTCATCATGTGAAACAACGTCAACATTAACGTAGTTATTTATACCCAAACCAAGATCTTTTCTTAAACCTGACCCCAAGCAGTTGATGCCTAAACCCAACCAAACTGAAAGAGGTTCCTGAAGTGTTGCTGGCCTTGTTAACAAACTGTTTCAACCACTAGTATTGTTTTGAAAGTCTAACCAGACGTTGCATAGTTTTTCTTGATCGCAGAGCCCTTAAGGTGCAGAAACGTCGCTCAACGCTGAAGCCACAGGTGTCAACATTATTAAAATTTTCTGAAAAATAGCAACAAGAAATGAGCGCCGT